AGCTGCTGCTGGTGCTGAGGACTCGGGCGTTGGGGCTGCCACTGGTGTCCCTGCTGCTTCTGGAGACGCTGCACGGCCGCGACCGTACTTCGTACCGCTCCTTCAGCAGGTTCTTGGTCAGGCTCCTCCTCCTAGTCCTCCTCCGTCAGTCGAGTGTCCTCTGCCTGTCCAGCCGCAGTCACAGTTACCGCCTGCCTCGCCTCTCCCTGCTCCCTCCCCTTACGCTGGTCCCACAGGAGGTCTTACAGAGCGTCGTGAGCCTGAGTCTCGTCCTGCGTCGCCTGTTCGTCCTGCTCGCACTGGTCGTCGTGTCCCACGTGAGCGTCCTCCTCCTGTCCCTGGCACTCACTACATGACTCTGCGTCCCTCCACTGCTCCGCAGCGTGTCCCGCTGCCGTCTCCTCCTGCGTCCTCTCTTCCTACTCTTCCTGACCCGGAGTCTGACTCCCGTCGTGCTGCCAGTCCCACTGTTACGCGTCTCCTCGCTACAGTTGTCACTGACCCGACCTTTGAGTCCTCGGCTGCGTCTGCTCTGGTCGCTGAGTTGGTTGACTTTGCTGCTCGCTGTCGCCTAGACTACGCTGCCAGCCTTGTCGCTAGGTCTGAGTCTGCGTCTGCCTGTCCTCCGTCCGTCGGGGGTGAGTGTGCCCTCGGCACGGACGTCCTTGAGGACAGACAGGAGGAGTTCCACTGCCTTGCTGCTGCTTTGCCCCGTCTCGTGTCCTTGCTAGTTGCCCCTGAGGGAGACCCGGATGCACCAGACATCCCGACCCCACGCTCTTACGCTGAGGCGATGGCGGGTCCCTACTCCTCTCAGTGGCAGACAGCCATGGACGCATAGATGGCATCCTGGAAGTCCACAGGCACCTACGTAGACGAGGTTCCCCCTCCTGGGGCGAACATCGTCAGTGGCATGTGGATTTTCAGGGTGAAGCGGCCGCCGGGTTCTCCACCTGTCTTCAAGGCGCGCTACGTGGCTCGAGGCTTCAGTCAGCGAGAGGGAGTAGACTTCTTTCAGACCTTCTCCCCCACCCCGAAGATGACTACTCTTCGGGTGCTGCTGCACATAGCCGCTCACCGCGACTACGAGCTTCACTCTCTTGACTTCAGCACTGCTTTCTTGCAGGGCAGCCTGCACGAGGAGATCTGGCTGCGCCGCCCCCCTGGCTTCACTGGGTCAGTTCCTCCTGGCACCCAGTGGAGGCTTCAGCGGCCGGTCTACGGTCTCCGCCAGGCGCCACGTGAGTGGCACGACACACTGAGGACGACACTTGCGGCTCTTGGGTTCGCTCCCTCTACTGCTGACCCGTCGCTGTTTCTACGCACCGACACCTCGCTGCCGCCGTTCTACATCCTCGTGTACGTCGACGACTTGGTCTTTGCCACTGCTGACACCGCGGCACTCGCTCACGTGAAGTCGGAGCTGCAGAGGAGACACACGTGCACAGACCTGGGTGAGCTGACGAGCTATCTTGGCTTGCGGATCACCCGGGACAGAGCACGGCGCACCATCACCCTGACTCAGTCACACATGGTGCAGCAGGTTCTCCAGCGCTTCCGCTTCACGTACTCCTCGCCTCAGTCCACTCCTCTGCCTACCGGTCACTCGCTCTCAGCTCTGCCTTCGGATGAGTCCGTAGAGCCGAGTGGCCCGTATCCAGAGCTTGTGGGCTGCCTCATGTACCTGATGACCTGCACTCGACCTGACCTTGCATACCCTCTTAGCATCCTAGCACGCTATGTCGCTCCTGGCCGTCACCGGAAGGAGCACATGGATGCCGCTAAGAGGGTGTTGCGCTACTTGTGCAGTACGTCGGGCATGGGGCTTGTGCTTGGAGGGCGAGACCGGGTTGTTCTCACAGGGCACTCAGACGCTTCTTGGGCAGACGACCAGGCTACTCAGCGGTCGTCCCAGGGTTACACCTTCAGCCTTGGCTCTGGCTCAGTTTCTTGGCGTTCTACTCGCTCTTCTTCTGTTCTCAGCTCCAGTTGTGAGGCTGAGATCTACGCCACAGCCATGGCTGCTCAGGAGCTACGCTGGCTGACCTACCTGCTGACCGACCTCGGAGAGCGGCCTCGTTCTCCTCCAGTGCTGTACGTCGACAACAAGGCTGCCATTGCCTTGTGTGAGGAGCACAGACTGGAGCACAGAACGAAGCACATCGCTCTGCGGTACTTCCTTGCTCGAGAGCTGCAGCAGCGTGGTCAGCTTTGTCTGCGTTACGTGGCCACGGAGGCCAACACTGCTGATGTGTTCACCAAGGCGCTTCAGCCTTGTGACCATCAGCGCTTTTGCACTCTGCTAGGCCTTGTACCCACTGGGCCTCACTTGCTTACCTCTTGACCTTGCTTGTACTGTGATCACTATATATATATGCCTACTTGTTTACTTTTGCTAGGTTGTGATCACTGTATCTCTTGCTTTGTTATAAACCTGCATGTGAACTGGTCTTGGGACCGCTTGCTTGTGCTCAGAATTTGTGTGGAATCCTTGAGATCCACCCTGAGCTTGCTTTGCTTTGACTGGTCTTGTGACCCTGTGGTTGTCTCCCACTGCGCCTATGGGGGTGTGTCAAACATTGTATGTTTATATTGTGTAGGCTGTAGTGGGTTACACCTTAGGGGGTACACAAAGTTAGGGTTTCCTACTTGTACCAAACTCTGTGCTAGTTCATTCATTCCTGCTCAGTTATTTCTGACAGGTGTGTGGGGAGCCGACGGAGTGGTACTAGGGGGGTGAAAGGGGAGTGGAGCTAGGGGCGAAGCAGGGGGTGTGTGTCGAGGGGTGTGGGACTGTTGGGGGAGGTTGAGCGGAGGCCGCCGTCGTGTCGTCTGTAGCGCCCGTATTCCGGGGTTCTGATAGCCACCGGTAGCTCAGAGAGCCGGTTGCACCTGTCGCCCGTGGGTCCGTTGCTCCTGTCGCTGCTGATCAGACGCAGAGCCTGTTACTCCTGTATTCCGGGGCCCTTGCTCCCGGTAGCCACTAGAGCTGCACCAGAGCCGTCTGTTGCCCGTGTGTCTGCAGCTTCAGTCGTCGCCTCCACTCTTCTCTCCTCTCGCCAGCCCTCCTCCTCCTCACTTGCCCTCTGTGACTGCCTCTAGTTTTGCTCATAAAATGTGAACTACTATTATGACTGCTTGTTGTGCTGATTACACCCCACTTTGGCTATGGGGGTGTGTCAGAATGTTGTATTTGTCTAGCCTGCAGTGGGGTACTCTATAGCGAGTACAGCCCAATCTAGGTTTGCTATTTGTATCTCAACTGCTGCTAGTCCAAACCCCTCTTTCCTGTTTCTCGTTTTGCCTAGCTTTCTCGACAAAGCGAAGGGGAGTGTTGGAAACAGTGAATCTTAAGCGCCTCTGTCGTGTCGAAACACCGCACCAGAAGCGAAGCGAACCATATCGAAGCACCCGCGAGTCAACCCTCGGAGGTTGAGAGGTTGCTGGAGGTTATGCGAAAGTCAAAGGTCAGCGACCTTTGACCTGACAAGTACAGCGCGACAGCAAGGACACACAACTGACTCGTTACAGAGCAGTTGCCCGAGTCGTCACTGTATCGAACCGCAACAGCAATAGTAAAATAGTTATAACCGTATCTCTTCGTATTCCTTGTACTATTATATAATCTTGTATCTCTTTGCTTTAATCAATCTACTTTGCCCTCACATACTAGCGCAAGGTGGTTCAATATCCCCATTAAAGCTTCCGCTACTACAACATTATTCTACCCAGAGTTCACCCTTGAGAAGATCCTAAAGGCTGTTCTCAGCCCAACAGGCCGAAGCGGTGGGGCGAGCGATGCATGGTTTGGTGAATAGTGCACGCGAAGGTTGGTTAAGGACGTGTTGCAATTCGCGGTGCACTGCATCGGCTCGGCTCGTGGCACGGGTTCAGTAAGGCTCCGGGCAAGACGATGCCGAAAGGTTTTTACGGAAAACGCGCAAACATAATTTATGTCCTAAAACGACCTTGGCAATAACTCTATTATTCATTATCTCGAAACGTTTCTTTGCCCGGGATTGGCCACCCGCTTGCCTGGAGCCTTCCATTCGTCCCGAGCCGATGCAGTGCACCGGCAATTGCAACACGTCGTAACAATAGCGCTCTGGAGAACCGCCTGGAAAAATGCACAAAAGGAGACACGCCCTAAGGGCGACGTCACATTGTACAGATTTTTGTACGCCCACTGCGGTTAACTTCGTTTCAACACGGTTCAAAGCGGTAAAAGTCAATAACCGCTTTTCACCCTGTTGGACCGTCCTGAACCACGATACAAGAACTGTAAACCCGCGAGAAATGTATTACTTGACGTCGCCCCAAGCAGTGAACTGCGTCCTACGAACCCGTGTTGTCAGCAGGAACGGTGGGGACTGCCGTTGCTGCGCGCGGCTCTGACGCCTGTACCCTTACTCCATCCATAACCGCCTAATCTCCATTCGCTCACCTAAGCGCCCACCGATCTGCAGCCATGCTTTCCGCAGCTTCGCGCACCTCGTCCCGGGGCCTTCACAAGGTTCGTGTCAGAGTCGTCGCCCGTACATGCATCGTGCTACTTCTGACGTGGCGCGTGAGTCGACGCAAAGCCAGTGCTACTGGATCTGAGGTTTACAGTGCCGCTGAATCTCACGCGCCCTTCTGCCGTCCCATCGCAACTTCGCAAACGCGCGAGATCGCGTACGAATGTACCTAAATCGTAGGCCTTCACATCGACTTGGATATTTTCCGTTTTCTGTATCTCTAAAAGCAGAAGGCTTGCTCCACGACTCCTCCTACCCTCCGCCTCCTCCCCCCTTCCCCTCTCTCCCTCCTACCCCCAGGCCCTCGGATCCATCGCAGCCGTCCGACTGCTCGCCCCCGCCACATCTCCCGCGTCGCCCTTCACCACCTCCGCTTCCTCTCCCGCCGCCGCCTCCACCGCCGTCGCTCATGCCGCGAAACCCGCTAAGAGGGGCGGGCTGCTCTCGATGCTCTTCGGATCCGCGCCGCCTCCCGGGCCGCCGATGTTCGAGCCGCTCCCCGGGGTTACTATCCCGCCGCCCCTGACGGAGTTTAAAGCCAATGAGACGGTTGTGTCGACCCTGCCGAATGGGCTCCGGATTGCTTCGGAGAACCTTCCTGTGAGTCTAGAATCGATCCGCTTTAAGAAACAGTTTCAAATGGTGGCCGTAATGCAGGTTTGTCCGCTTCGCTTATTCCAAAAGCTTTCCCTTCCACGTTCCCTACCCTCCCAGTGCCCAGGACCCACAGCACAGCACAGCACGGCACAGCACAGCACAGCACTGGTCGGGCGTGGGAAGGAGTGCACCTGAACGCTCACTGCCTACCCACCCCTCCCCCGCTCCCTCTCTTCCGATCCCCCAGTCCCCCCCGGCGACAGTGGGGCGGCACATCGACCCCAAGGGGCCGGACAGCGCGCAACGGGGGGCCCGCGGAGAAACGCAGCGCGTCTCACTACCCCTCTCGCCCGCTCTCCCGTTCCCTCTCCTTCCCGCGCGTGGCAGGGCCCCACAGCAACGGTGGGGCTGTACGTGGATGCGGGCAGCGCGGCGTGCATGAGGAAGATGTAGGGAAATGCAGCGCGTCTCACAGCCGCTCTCTTTGCTTGCCTCTCTTGTGGCCCTCGCAGGGTCCCACGGCGACGGTGGGGCTGTACATAGACGCGGGCAGCGTGCACGAGAGCGTGGAGAGCAGCGGCGCGTCGCACCTGCTGGAGCGCATGGCGTTCAAAAGCACCGCCAACCGCACGCACTTCCGCCTCATCCGTGAGGTGCGCCCTTCCGCCTCATCCGTGAGGTGCGCTTAGCGGATCCATGAGACGTGCTTGTTATATCAGGAAGATGCGCTTATCAGATCAGGTGGGGGGGAGGGGTGGTTCATATCTTATCAGAGGTATGCTCACGTGCAGGTCATGGGAGTCGCTGTGGTGCCCTCAGCGCATCACCAGCATACTGCTGCACGGGGAGGGTGGCACCAGACACCTCTTACCCCCTCTCCCCCCCCCACCTCTTACCCCCTCTCCCCTTTCCCCCTCTCCCCCTCCCCACCTCTTACCCCCTCTCCCCTTTCCCCCTCTCCCCCTCCCCACGTCTTACCCCCTCTCCCCTTTCCCCCTCTCCCCCTCCCCACCTCTTACCCCCTCTCCCGTTTCCCCCTCTCCCCCTCCCCACCTCTTACCCCCTCTCCCCTTTCCCCCTCCCGCGCTCCCCCCTCTCCCCCTCTCCCACCGCCTCTCAGATCGAGGCGATGGGGGCGAACGTGCAGTCGTCAGCATCGCGGGAGCAGATGGCGCTGACGGCGGACGCCGTGCGCACGTACGTGCCGGAGATGGTGGAGCTGCTGGCTGACACCGTGCGCAACTCGCTCTTCCACGACTGGGAGGTCAAGGAGCAGGTGCGCGCTCCACGGGTGGCTTGGGACTTGGGTTCGGAAGGGCGTTCAGTTGGCCATTTCAGCGGCCCCAGACAGTGCCGCAGGTGGTGCTGGCGCCGCTGCTGCTGTCGCACTGTCAGGATCCGCTTTTTCTCGACAGGGAGGTCACGCACCACGTGCATTCACGGGTGGGCTCCATGTGGAGCATTGGGTATGTTCCCATTTCCCTTCTCACTTCCCCATCTCCCCGTCCCCTCCCCCTTCCCCTCCCCATTCCCCATCCCACCTTCCCCCCCCCCTTCCCCATTGCCCATCCCCCTTGCCCCCCCTCCCAGGTGGACAAGGTGCGCAGTGAGCTAGCTCAGCTGCAGGCGACAAACCCGCAGGGCCTAATGATGGAGGCACTGCACTCCGCCGGCTACGCGGGCGCGCTGGGGCAGCCGCTGCTGGCGCACGAGTCATCTCTCGCGCGGCTGACCGGGCAGGCGCTGTACGAGTTCGTGGCGGGCAACTACACGGCGCCGCGCATGGTGGTGGCGGCGGCGGGCGTGCAGCACGAGGAGCTGGTGGACGTGGTGGCGCCGCTCTTCCAAGACATGCCCGCCGTCAAGCCGCCCCCTGCGCCCGAGTCGCAGTATGTGGGCGGCGACTGGCGCATGGCGGCCGACTCCCCTGTGAGTGCTCTGCTACTTTCACAAGGGTTCATTGTGTGGCTTGTGTTTCTCACTCGGTGGCTTTGTATCGCTGAGTAGCTCTTTCTCTGTGGCCTGTCTGTCGCTACACCGCCTCCACTGCCCTCACTGCCTGTACTTGCACCGCTGCCGTTCGCCCACCTCGTTCCCTCAACATACCCTCGTGTTGCTGGAATAGACTTGTCAGGAGGCTGCCTCGTGGTGGGAGAGCCAACGCGCCTTGAGCGTGTTGAGCATCAAGTGGCCATCAACCGCCCGCCAGGCGCAGCACAAGACACAACTTGCCCTTTGCTCTTCTCCCCCTCTTTCCCCGCGGCTCCCTCGTCTGCCCCACTCGCTGGGTTCACAGGAGACGCATGTGGCGCTGGGCTTTGAGTTTGCGGGCGGGTGGCGCAACGAGAAGGACGCGCTGGCAGTGGTGCTGCTGCAGACCCTCCTGGGGGGCGGCGGATCCTTCTCTGCCGGTGGCCCGGGCAAGGGCATGTACTCGCGCCTCTGTGAGTCCTGCAAGGGCATGTACTCGCGCCTCTGTGAGTCCTGCAAGGGCATGTACTCGCGCCTCTGTGAGTCCTGCTATCAACGCGTCTAATGCTTCTTGCCGCATCTAATTCGCGCTCCCCGCATACCAACTCGTTAACTATTCTTTTTCTGTCTCCCTCCAAACACGCGCACGTGCTGAACCACTTCAGCATCGTGACGTCCTCCACTCTCCTTTGGCCCTCACCTCATCCCACTGCTGCCTTCGTTTCCGCCTTCTTGCCCCTTTCCCCCTTGCCCTGTGCCCCGTGCCCCGTGCCGCGTGCCGCGTGCCCCCCTGCGCAGACACGCGGGTGCTGAACCAGTACGGCATGGTGACGTCATGCAGCGCGTTCAACTCCATCTACAACGACACGGGGCTCATCGGCATCCACGCCACCGCCGTGAGTGCTCAAGAGGCTGCCCGGCTACACCATGGAGCTTTCAACTGACACCATGCCTCTCGAATTCCTTGTTTGAAGTGCGTAGAAACAGACTCTCCTCCTGCATCCTCCTCCCTCCTCCCCCCGCTGCTGTTCCTCCTTTCTCTTCCTCCCCCTTTCTCCCTCCTTCCCACATGAGGGGCCGTGCGCCTGAGTGCGCACACCATGCCTCGCACACCCCCTTTGTCAAGTGCCTAACAGCGCTCCCCGCCTCCCCTCTCCTCCTCGCTCTTCCCCCCGCGCGTGCTCGCATCAGGCGTCGGGCCATGCGGCAGAGCTGGTGGACATCATGACTCGCGAGCTGCTCGCCGTCGCCCAGCCCAATGGAGGTGCGCTGCGCTGCACGGCAGGGCAGGGCAGGGAGCGGCAGGGCGGGGCAGAGCAGGGACGCATGTGGGAGCGGGTGGGACGGGGGATGTGAGGTGGGGGGAGATGAGGTGCGAGGGAGGTGCATGATAAGCTGTTCAAAGCTTGTTGATGCTTATGCTCATGCTCATGCTCATGGCACAGAGAAGTTGAGGTGTCCGCGAGGCGAGAGGCATGAGGCAGGGTGGCACTCGAGGGACGTCAGATAGGAGTGATGCAAGGTGTGAGGGGCATGAGAAGCGATGCCACTAGAGTGCGGCAAGGCTGCCACCCACTCCTCTTGCTCCTGCCTGCTAACACCGGCTTCCTCCTTCAATACCACCTTGCCCTCCTCATCCCACTTCCCGCCAGTGCACCCTGGCCCTCTCCACCTCCCACCAGTGGCGACAGAGGAGCTGGAGAGTGCAACAAGAGTGCGAGCAACTGGATGTGCTTCTCTAACTCGCATCTCCCCTTACCCGTTTTCCCCACCGCACCGCACCGCGTACCTGACAGTGTCGGCGGAGGAGCTGCAGCGCGCCAAGAACGCGTGCGTCTCATCCATCGAAATGAACCTCGAGTCGCGGGTGAGACGCACACCCAGGGGGGCTAGCCTTGGGTGACATGGGAAAGAGAGAGGTCTTGGTGATGTGTAAGCAGTGGATTGCAAGGGAGGTCGTGCCTTGTTAGTTCTGCTCATGCCCATAGCGCCCTCGCTGCCATGTCACTTATCGTGGCAGGCCTCCTCTCCCATCTCAATTCATCAAGTCCAATTTCCCATCTCATCCCATCTAATTCGGGCCATTGCATGCCATGAAGTCCCAAGCCATGTGATTGCTTGCCATGATCTCCCTCCTTCCCTCTGCCCCTCCCTTTTGTATCACCCCACTGCGTCACATCAGGTGGTGGTGGCGGAGGATATCGGCCGTCAGATCCTCACCTATGGCCACAGGTACGCCGTCGCAACCGAGTAGGCGCTGGTCCTCCGCTGTCATCTCATCCTTCACGCTTCTTGCTTCTTGCTTGTCGTGCATTCTGGTACTTTTTTCATGCATTCTGCCATTCGTGGCGAAGCGCTCTCTCATCCTTCCATCCGAATTTGTGATGACGCTTAGCTGCTTGGTAGCACTCGAGCGTTGAGCCCTGGCTGGCTTGAATCTTCTTCCGAGGTGCCTCAAAAGTCGTCTTAATTAATCGAGGTTTCGAGCCTCGGCTAACTCCAAGCCACTCATATTCATTTCGGTTGTGGCCGCTTTGTGTCCTTCCTTTCTGTGCGCCCTCCCTCCCTCCGTGCGTGCTGGGAACGGCAGGAAGCCACCGCACGACTTCATTGCGAAGCTGAGGGAGGTGACAGCGGCAGACATCGCCAACGTGGCGCGGAAAATCATCTCCACGCCGCTCTCCATGGCATCCTACGGTGATGGTGAGTTGTCCCTCTCCATGGCATCCTACGGTGATGGTGAGTTGTCCCTCTCCATGGCATCCTACGGTGATGGTGAGTTGTCCCATCATGCCATCCTCCGGAGTTGAGGGGTCCTTGCCCTTTTGATTGCGTGCTATAGTGTTTCATTTGGATTGCTCCCAATTGTGACAAAAGGACATTCTTGTGCCTTATCCCCAATACGGTAAGCATGGCCTGGTTTTTTCAAATTCCTACTGTTGTAAAGACGTGGTCAAAGCTTCCAATCTTTCCTCCCGCACCCCTTCTTCTCCACCCCCAACCTCTCCTCCCTGCCCTCTGCAATTGTGCTATTGCTACCCGGACGACAATCTGTAATCTATCCCTGCGGTGTCCATCCTGCAGTTGTTCATGTTCCTCGGTTCGACCAAGTTGCGGCTCGTTTCAGCTGAGTCGTTTCCGTCTACTCGTGAAAGCTGATGCCTAATACCATAGCTGTTATGTGGACCAGTTATCACTCAAGTTCAACTGTGGATTGACGAATCTAGCTCAAGCAAACAGAGCAGAGGCATGACAATTACCACCGTAAATATGAAGTGGAAATTAATAAAAAGTGTTTTATACGAGAAACTTCTGCCTTGAAAGTCACAGTACATGGGGTATGGGCAGCTATGCCTGTTTCGCCAACACTGTCTGGGTTACAGACAGCAGCATCACGAAACCTCGACGTCTGTTGGCGACGAGCTCCCTAAAGAGTTCGCCGAAAATTGTTCGTGCCAAGGATCCGTCCTTTCTTGCCGATCGAGCCTGCGCAAGGTCGGTGTGACGGGCCGTAACACTGTGACAGCATCAACCTCAGGGTTACCGTTTCTCGCCAACAACAAATCTGGTTCAACGCCCACAACAAATCTTGAACTTATGTGTGCAGGTATTCCGCCATAGGTTATAGAGGCTTCTCTCGTCACAGGCGAAAATAAGTATTTCCGCGGGGGAATGAATCTCCGTCAAAAAGCTGCGATACGCGGAAAGTGGAAATTCGGCAACACCTAAACCGATCCTGCCCATCGATCGTGTTCCTAGGGGATTGTTTAGGACCTGAGATAGCGATTTTTTTTACCAATCATGCGACGAGCCTTTGATCGATGTGAAGGGTCGGTAAAAATCGCCGATCCTCTCCCGATCCGCTAGAGGGGACGCGTCTGAAGGTTGGCACGACTGTTGTCCCCGAGGCACACCAAAAGACACCATCCCGCAACACATGGAGCTTGCGCTATACCTAGGTTGCCTACCTTTACTTGTGCAACGCATCGCCTATCACATTTGTTCCCCATCCACTTCCGAACTTGACGGGTTTATACGAATATAGTGAGCTGGCTTTTTCCTTGCACAGTGCGCGTGCGCCCCTAGGCGGCACATTCTTCCAAATGGCGCAACGTGCGGCGGAAGGTCTGACACGGCAAGAGGGGGAGGAGAGATTTGGACGTGGGACGCCAAGCGTCGACGCGACTGACGAAAGGCATCGCGCGGAGGAGCATGACGAGGCGGCGCAGTCTGAAAGGGAGGGGGACGCGGGAGAGGCATCGATAGTTGGCGCGGGGCGGGGGGAAGCGGAGGGCGAGAAGGCGGAGGGCGGGGATGGCGGAGGCCCAGGGGAGGAGGAAGGAGGGCAGTTTCGACGAAAGAGGGCAGCGTTCATCTACGGCAATTACAAGCACTACTACGGCTACAGGGTAGGTGTAGGGTATGGGGGACGGGGTATGGGGGACGGGGTATGGGGGACGGGGTATGGGGGACGGGGTATGGGGGACGGGGTATGGGGGACAGGACGGGGTAGTAGGGTGACATGGTAGGGGACAGGGTAGGGGGGCAGGGTAGGGGGACAGGGGACGGGGGACTGGGTAGGTGTGCAGTGTACGGGGTGCAGGGTACGGGGTGCAGGGTACGGGGTGCAGGGTACGGGATGCAGGGATTTATCCAGGCAGGGTGGAGAGCGTTAGGAGATGCCGCCAGGGGGAAGGGCCGGCCGCACTGCGCTTGTCACACTCGCTGGTCGGCAGAGAGAGCACGGGCAGAGGGGCAGAGGACAGAGGGACAGAGGGACAGAGGGAAGGCTGCAAGCCTTGGAGCTTGAAACTTTGAGCTTGTCCAGATAATGCCTTGACTGAGAAGCTTGACTTGACCCACGAGCTATAATCTTACTCTTAAGCCTTACTCTTAAACCTCCACAAAACCCTACCCCTACCTTGGAAGCTCGGATACCGCTGTTACCTGGCATTTCACCCCTCTTCTCTTTTCACCTTTTTCCTCCTTCTCTATCTTCCCCACTCCCTCCTGCACTTCCCCCTCTCCCCCCTCCTCCCCTCAAGGTAGGAGCAGCGTTTGAGGAGGATCCGAGGGTGCGGTGGATGAGGCGGGAGTGGTTTGACGGTCGTGACTGTGTGGACGTCGGCTGCAACTCCGGCTTCGTCTCCATCGGCCTCGGTGCCCTCCCCACCCTTCGCCTTTCCCCACCTCCTACCTTGTTGCACCCCCTTCTGCTTCCCAACCGGCATCCACACCGCCCTTCCCTGCGTGTACGCCCTCCTCCCTCGCGTGCCACAGCCTGTTTCCATTGAGGCGTTCTGCATTGTCAATCCCCGAGCGCATCCAACAGGCGCATGCACGTGCGTCTTTCCCGCCACCATTGCATCCTCATCGCTTTTTCCCTCCATGTCTGCACTTCGTTCCACCCAACCAGCCCCCACCCGCCTTCTCCCAAACCTCCCTCCTTTCACTCCTCTGCCTCTCATCTCACTCTCATCAGCTCTCCCCTTCCCTGCCTCCACCCCCCCGCCATCCCTTCCTTGTTTCCCGCCACCATTGCTTCCTTGTCGCACACCAGTACATGGCTGCACTTCATTCCACCCAGCCCCTTCCCGCCTTCTCCCCAACCTCCCTCCTTCCACACTCTCCCTCACCTCTTCTTTCAGTCTCTTCTTTCCTTGCCCGCTGCACTCTGTGTCCGCCACCCCCCCTCCCCCCTCAACACGCCCTGTGTGCGGCATGGCATGGCATGGCATGGCATGGCATGGGATGTGACGTGCAGTGCGGCAGTTCAACGTGAGGTCCATGCTCGGCATCGACATCGATCAAGGTGTGTGCCATGCCTGCTATGTCATTCATTGCCATGCCTGCTATGTCATTCATTGCCATGCCTGCTATGTCATTCATTGCCATGCCTGCTTTGTCATTCATTGCCATGCCTGCTATGTCATTCATTGCCATGCCTGCTATGTCATTCATTGCCATGCCTGCTATGTCATTCATTGCCATGCCTACTATGTCATTCATTGCCATGCCTGCTATGTCATTCATTGCCATGCCTGCTATGTCATTCATTGCCATGCCTGCAATGTCATTCATTGCCATGCCTGCTATGTCATTCATTGCCATTCATTGCCATGCCTGCTATGTCATTCATTGCCATGCCTGCTATGTCATTCATTGCCATGCCTGCTATGTCATTCATTGCCATGCCTGCTATGTCATTCATTGCCATGCCTGCTATGTCATTCATTGCCATGCCTGCAATGTCATTCATTGCCATGCCTGCTATGTCATTCATTGCCATGCCTGCTATGTCATTCATTGCCATGCCTGCTATGTCATTCATTGCCATGCCCTGCCATGTCATTCCGTGCCATGCCATGCTGTGTTATGCGATGTTGTACTGGCTGAGGCGTGCGAAGACTGAGAGCATTGTGGTCCATTAGTTTACCGACATGAGTTATGACACCACTGCTGCTCCTTCATTGAAATCCCCTTGGCTCATCCTTTCACCTCCCTCCGTCTTGCCTCCACTTCTCTTCTCCGGTCTCCCAGATCTAATCAAGGAAGCAAGGAGGCAATGGGGTAGCGTGGTGCGGGCGGAGAAGGAGAAGGAGAGAGAGGAGAGGGAGAAGGGGAGGGAGGAGAAGGAGAAGGGGAGGGAGAAGGGGAGGGAGAAGGGGAGGGACGAGAGTGAGAAGCAGCAGTCGGTGTCACGGGAGGGGCGAAGGGGCGAGAAGCGGGAGAGGCCGGATGATGGGGGGCCAGTGGGTGACGAGGCAGATGGAGGCATGCCATGTGGCGCCTCCATCTGCAGCAACGTCGCTGCTGCTCGGGACCATGGAGGCGCCTTGCCCGTGGGGATGCCCACTGGAATGGCCACTGGGACGACAGCCACGGCAGGCAGAGCAGTGGAGCAGGCAGTAGCAGCAGCAGCACAGGCGGCAGGAGTAGTGGAGGGGGCAGTGGAGGCGGAGGCGAGGAGGGCAGGGAGGAGACCGCGGGTGGTGTTCAGATGCGCCAACGCGGTGGAGGAGGCACTACCTGCTGCCAGCGCTGACACCGTGCTGTGGTGAGATGAAATGGGTGCTGTGGTGAGATGAGGTGGGTGCAGATGTGTACTATGCTGAGATGGGTGCTGGGGTGAGAAGGGTGCTCTGTTGAGAAGGGTGCTGTGGTGAGATGGTTGATGTGGTGAGATGTTTGACGTGGTGAGATGGTTGTGTTGATGTGGTGAGATGGTTGTGTTGATGTGGTGAGATGGGTGCTGTGGTGAGGTGGGTGCTGTTGTGAGGTGGGTGCTGTGGTGAGGTGGGTGCTGTGGTGAGATGGGTGCTGTGGTGAGATGGGTGCTGTGGTGAGATGGGTGCTGTGGTGAGATGCCCCGACAGTGCACATGCAAGTCCTAGCTGAAGGATTGATGTGGAGTTCAAATCCTTATTCGAAAGAAAATCCAATGTGCATCTTTATATAGCTGAAGGTTTGGATGAGAATGTTGGCAGCTTCCTCAAAGTCACTCGCATCCATGCCTTCAGCTATATAAAGATGCACTTTGGACTTTCTTTCAAACAAGGATCTGAACTCTTCATCAGATTTTCAGAATGATGAAGGACCAATCGTTTAATGAACGGTTCCCTTGCTCCCAGCTGGTCACAGCAAGATGTCGTGTTGAAGGGCGTGACAACCTTGTGGTAAAAATTCAAAGTGCTTGTTCCTCTTTCCCTGTCCCCCTCCTCCACCTCCCCTCCACCCCAACTCGTGGTGGTAGTCTGAGTGTGACCAAGTGGGTGCACCTCAACTGGGGGGATGCTGGCCTCATCGCCTTCTTCGCCAACCTCTTCCACACGCTGCGCCCTGTAACACCCTCTCTTCTTCCACACACTGCGCCCTGTAACACCCTCTCCTCTTCCACACACTGCGCCCTGTAACACCCTCTCTTCTTCCACACACTGCGCCCTGTAACACCCTCTCTTCTTCCACACACTGCGCCCTGTAACACCCTCTCTTCTTCCACACACTGCGCCCTGTAACACCCTCTCTTCTTCCACACACTGCGCCCTGTAACACCCTCTCCTCTTCCACACACTGCGCCCTGTAACACCCTCTCCTCTTCCACACACTGCGCCCTGTAACACCCTCTCTTCTTCCACACGCTGCACCCTGTAACACCCTCTCCTCTTCCGCGCGCTGCGCCCTGTAACACCCTCTCCTCTTCCACACACTGCGCCCTGTAACACCCTCTCTTCTTCCACACACTGCGCCCTGTAACACCCTCTCCTCTTCCACGCACTGCGCCCTGTAACACCCTCTCCTCTTCCACACACTGCGCCCTGTAACACCCTCTCTTCTTCCACGCGCTGCGCCCTGTAACACCCTCTCTTCTTCCACACGCTGCGCCCTGTAACACCCTCTCCTCTTCCACACGCTGCGCCCTGTAACACCCTCTCTTCTTCCACGCACTGCGCCCTGTAACACCCTCTCCTCTTCCACACGCTGCGCCCTGTAACACCCTCTCCTCTTCCACGCGCTGCGCCCTGTAACACCCTCTCCTCTTCCACAGCTGCGCCCTGTAACACCCTCTCCTCTTCCACACGCTGCGCCCTGTAACACCCTCTCCCCTCCTCTTCATCCTGCCCTTGCATGCCGATGTGATTCTCCACTCTTACTTCGTTTCATCCTTTGGCTTCGCCACATGCTAACTTGCTGCATCAAGTGTGTTAAGTTATTAACAGCGTTGTGAATTGCTGTGCTGTGCTGCTCTTCCACCCCTTTTCTCTTTCCCATCCACACACACTCTCCCACTCTCTCGTTCCCTCTAACCCACACGCTTGTACGCACCCTCCCTGCCCTGCAATCACCGTCGCTATCCCGTGCCTGCAGGGAGGGGTGCTCATTCTCGAGCCGCAGCCGTGGAGCTCGTACAAGAAGAAACAGGGGCTCACTCAGGTGCGTGCACTCACTCACTCACTCACGTACGTGCATTCACTCACTCAGGTACGTGGACTCACTCACTCACTCACGTGCACACATTCACTCACTCAGGTACGTGCACTCACTCACTCATGTACATGCACTCACTCACGTACATGCATTCACTCACTCAGGTGTGTGCACTCACTCAAGTACGTGCACTCACTCACCTACATACATGCACTCACTCACGGTGTGTGCCTTCACTCGATCAGATGCGTGCACTCACTCAAGTGCGTGCACTCACTCACTTACGTGCACTCACTCACTCAAGTGCATGCACTCACTCGCTCAGTTGAATGCACATGCACCCACAGGCATCATGAGCTTTCCTGTACGTCCACTCAACCTCTGTTTTTGTTCACGTGCACATTTCTGCTGCCCCATTTTGGCCGGCCATCAGGAGAGCAAGGAGCACTACAGCCGCATCAAGATCTTCCCCACCCATTTTCGAGAGCTGCTGCTCGACAAGGTTGCTCGCTGTACCCTTTGACCCCTCTCTCGCACCACAATGCATGCGCTTTGGCTGTGCTGTTTCCCACTTAACGTGCTGTCCAATTATTTTGTGTTGTCTTGCTCGCTGCACCTGCACCTGCTACCTCTCAGTCTGCTGTCTGCATTCACCCTCCACCATGTGCACTGCTGCTGCTGCTGCTGCTGCTGCTGTTGCTGCTGCTGCTGCATGCCGAGCAGATTGGCTTCCAGCGTGTGGAGGAGCTCACTGCTACTGTCTCAACCACCCGTGGCTTCGACAGGCCCCTCTTTGCATACTACAAGTAGTGCACTGACATGCCATCTTTGTCAAAATAGGGACCAGAACTTAGTAGCCATAGCTAGGGTTTAGTTAGCTAGGCAAGGGGGTGGTAAGATGAACTATCGACAGAATTGGGCAAAGAGGGGATTCTTTAAGAAAAGAGTTACAAGTTATAGCAAGCCAAAGGGTGCACCACTAAACAGGACGGCAATATAACTACACTACAGCTAGATCTACATGCAGTTATACAGAAACATATATATATAATATTCTAACAATCTTTTCATCGCTGCATTCATTTAGCCTTTGCTTGACTTTAAAACCGAAATATAAAATAGTGAAGGCCGACCGAACTTGAAATGGTTGCGATAACTTCGGTTGATACAACACTGTTCCAAACAAAACGGTTAGGCAGGTTGAACTCATCTGATTGGCTCACACCAATCTGAAAATTTTGGCTCCCGCCAAAACGATTACGCATGATCGTTTCAGCCGTCGCATTTTGGCTCGCTACACCCGCACGAACGGAGCCAGGCGATGGTTTCCATCGCCTGGCCCAACTTCCATTCAAGATGGAACTGGGTGAATGACTAGCTGATCTCTGGTCCCGAAGTCACCAGCGTTTTACGTAGCATAGTAGCAAAGCTTAGAGAGCCTAAATGCTTCTCGCCTAGGCATGTAAGTATCGAACTAGCTCGCGCGCGAATTGTATTAGACATTGTTCAGTATGGTAATTATTTTTCTCTTATCGCGCAAGTGGTACCCTAACCCATCACCTGCGCTGCCGTCGCGTTTCGCCCTCCTGTCGCGCTTCATCTCCTCCCGCCTAGACACGTAAGTATCTCTTCTCCTCCCGTCACCCTTCCCGTCGCCCTCGCTCTCTCCACTCCCACCCAATCTCCACTCCCACCCAATCTCCCCTCCCTTCCCGTCGCCCTTGCTCTCTCCTTTCCCACGCGATCTCCCCTCCCTTCCCGTCGCCCTCGCTCTCTCCTCTCCCACCCAATTTCCCCTCCCTTCCCGTCGCCCTCGCTCCAGACAACCCAGCTGGAACACGTGCTAGCGTCGCCCTTCGTCAGCATCGCGGTAAACGAGAGCACGGATAGGTGCAGCGGGAAGCACCTGATCCTCTTCATCACCTTCATCCGTGACTACAAGCTAGTCACGGAGTTCATGGCTCTTCTTACCGTGGAGAAGGCCGATGCAGCTTCCCTCCTCAGCGTTTTGTTGTCACACCTACAGGCTGTCGGTGTTAGAAATACTAGGAGTGGGGCCTAGGCTTAGTAGCCTAGGCCCACACTAAGAGGTAGTAGGATGTGCCCTAGGACTAGGGTTTTGGGTATGCGAAGGAGAATTGGAGAAGAGAGAATGGAGAATGGATGATTGAACTAGCAAGCAGCAGGATACAAATAGCAAACCCTAAGGGGTTGTACTCACTATTGAGCACCCCACTGCAGGCTAGACAACTAACATAATCTGACACACACCCATAGCCAAAGTGGGGTGTAATCAGCACAACAAACAGTCATAGCAGTAGTTCACAATTTATGAGCAAAGCTAGAGGCAGTCACAGAGGGCAAGTGAGGAGGAGGAGGCGAGACTGTAAGAGGAGAGGAGATAAGAGGCGACGGCTGAAGCTGCAGACACACGGGCGACAGGAGTCACACTGGCACAGCGGCTACCGGAACATCGGCACGGACTTCTGGAGTAACTGGCTCCGCGGCTAAGACGAGCGGCAGGAGCAATGGACCCACGGGCGACTGGCACAGCTGGCTACGACTGGGCTACCAGGACAGCGCCCCGGACTACAGGTGCTGCTGACGACAAGACGGCAGCCTCCACTCAACCTCCCCACAACAGTCCCACACCCCCCTACACACACCCCTAGTTTCACCCCTAGCTCCACTCTCACATCACCCCCATAGCGCCACTCCCTCGGCTCCCACACCTCCACCCCCCTCAGCGGCAGCTGCAGCAGTGGGAGACGAAGGAGGAGGAAGGGACGACGCACACGGAGCACCCCCATACCCGTCACCCCCACACTCCTGTCCAGGGGACGGGGGGGGTGGGGGGGGGCAGCAGAACAGAACAGAGCGCACGAGGGCGCGAGCAGAGCAGAGCGCACGAAGCACAAGGCACAAGGCACAAGGCACGAGGCACAAGGTACGAGGCACAAGGCACGAGGCACAAGGCACAAGAGAGTAGAGCGCACGAGGGCGCGGGCTGCAGCAGGGCGCACGAGGGCGCGGGCAGCAGCAGGTAGGCAGTGTCAGAGGTCCACTGGAGATCCCCGATGATCCTAGGGAAGGGTTACAGGCCCGTTGGCCTGGGGGGTTATGGGCGCACTCACCCGCTATATAAACAAGCCCTTTTATCCCAGTGGTTAGTGGTTGGGATTCTGACATGGTATCAGAGCGAAGGTCTCGGGTTCGATTCCCGGTGTGTGCACTTCGGGCATCCCAGTGCGGGGGGGTGTCAGAGGTCCACTGGAGATCCCCGATGATCCTAGGGAAGGGTTACAAGCACGTTGGCCTGGGGGGTTATGGGCGCACTCACCCGCTATATAAACAAGCCCTTTTATCCCAGTGGTTAGTGGTTGGGATTCTGACAGGCAGGGCGCGCGCAGAGGCGCAGCGCAGGTAGGCAGGGCGCGCGCAGAGGCGCAGCGCAGGTAGGCAGGGCGCGCGCAGAGGCGCAGCGCAGGTAGGCAGGGCGCGCGCAGAGGCGCAGCGCAGGTAGGCAGGGCGCGCGCAGAGGCGCAGCGCAGGTAGGCAGGGCGCGCGCAGAGGCGCAGCGCAGGTAGGCAGGGCGCGCGCAGAGGCGCAGCGCAGGTAGGCAGGGCGCGCGCAGAGGCGCAGCGCAGGTAGGCAGTACAAACGAACACAGGCAAAACGAACAAATACACGAACAAGACGAACGTACACGGAGTGGGCAAGAAAAGACACATACAGAACGAGAGGAACAAGACTGCGGGTGACAGGAAAAGGAGGCGGCTGCACCGGGACCAGGAGCGGCGTCGCATGCAGCTGCAGGGTCGGCGCCGTGGGCTGCTGCAGAGGCGGCTGCTGCAGGGGCGGCTGCTCGGGTCCAGGGGCAGCTGCAGCAGTGGCGGCTGCTCCAGGGGCCAAGGGCGGCTGCTGCAGGGGCGGCTGCACCAGGTGCGGCGTCGCGGGTCCAGGGGCGGCTGCACCAGGGGCGGCTGCACCAGGGGCGGCTGCTGCAGGGGCGGCTGCTCCAGGGGCGGCTGCTGCAGTTGCTGGCGGCTCCAGGGGCTGCTGCAGCAGTTGCGGGCGGCTCCAGGGGCTGCTGCTGCAGGTGCTGGCGGCTCCAGGGGCTGCTGCTGCAGTTGCGGGCGGCTCCAGGGGCTGCTGCTGCAGTTGCTGGCGGCTCCAGGGGCTGCTGCAGCAGTTGCGGGCGGCTCCAGGGGCTGCTGCTGCAGGTGCTGGCGGCTCCAGGGGCTGCTGCTGCAGGTGCTGGCGGCTCCAGGGGCTGCTGCTGCAGTTGCGGGCGGCTCCAGGGGCTGCTGCTGCAGTGGCGGGCGGCTCCAGGGGCTGCTGCTGCAGTGGCGGGCGGCTCGAGGTGCGCCCTGGCCTGGCGCAGTCCGTACGGGCCGCGCGCGGGCCTGGCGCAGCCCGTACGGGCCGCGCGCGGGCCTGGCGCAGCCCGTACGGGCCGCGCGCAGGCTAAACGGGCCGCGCGCGGGCCCTACGGAGGTCGCGCGGGCCACGACGGGCGACGGGGGGCGACGCGCGGGTCCCCGTCGCCCGTCGCAGCTCCTCTCGCGGAGTGACGGGGCAGAAAGCCGCCGCGCGCCTCGGGGCGCACGGCGGGCAGAAAACCGCCGCACGCTCCGAGCGCGCGGCGGGATGAAAAATTAGGGTTTCGCCGCCGCGCACCACGGGGCGCGCGGCGGACAGT